AGACTAACAGAGGTATTGGGAGAATAAGCTTCCGTGGTTAAGACCCTCCCTTCTCCAAATGAAAGTGAAGAAGTGAGGTTCTTACCCACGAAAGCTTATGCTCCCAATACTTCTGTTAGTCTCAAAGGTGCCACAGGACCCTCTGTTACATTTATTAAAGATAGATTTAGTGATTATAAGTCAAAGCACAAGAAGTCAGATTTGGTCAAATGAAACAAAAGCAAAACACATTCTAAGCTGATCTGAACACTTTCAATGCCCTTACAAACATAGATGCTTCTCACCACAGGCTGCCTGGTTGCCCTTCAGCCAGGCTCTCCCCTTTGATCAGCGCTTCTGTCGCTTGGTGGTGGTGTCTGTAGATGGAGGTGGAAGAGAGGGGAAGAGCCTGGCAAACGTCTCTCCCTTTTATCATGTTCCTTCTTCCCTCTTGGCTCTGCCCCCCCCGCCCCCGAGTCAGGGGAGCATTACCTCATTGCAGTCCCAAACTGACCAAGGGAAGGGGGGTCACTCACTTGAGAGTCCAACAGATCCTTTGTTGCTGCCTAGGCCAGTGTCCTTTGTTCCTGTGAGGCTGGGCTGGGTTTGTCCCATACATGCCCTGATGAGGTGTGAACTGCCCCTCTGCTCTTGGAGAGTTTTGCCTGGGCTTATTTTAAGCCATAAGGACACATTTTCAGCTTCATAACTATATACATGAAATTACAACCTATAACAACGATTACTATAACGTCTCTATAACAACAATGCTCAGTGCATCAGGAGCCTTCCGAAGACACCCGACATGACAAACTTTGCATTGGACACCCCACAATCGTATTATAAGGACGAACATGGGGGTGCAGAGAGTTCCCCCAAGGTACACAACGTCACAAGGGTGGCTGCTCCACGGAGGGTCTCTTGAATTCGGCAATCAGCCATAGGGGTCCCCTCCCCACCTGCTGCCCGTGGAGGCTCCAAGCTTCCCAGAGGGCCAAAGGGGGCAGAGGTCCAGAGAGGGGGGGTGAGGACAGAGCCTCTGGGGCTGGGAGTTGGAGGCAGGGAAAGTGAGCTGGTCCTGCTCCCTTCTGGTTTCTGACTCCTGGCTCCAACTGCTGGCTGCAGCTCTGACCCTTTGGCTGAGGCTTTGGCTTCTGACTCCAGATCTGCCCTTCAGTTTGGCCCTCCAGCTCTGACACCAGCTTCACCCTGGGACTGACGCCTGATTCCTGAATCTACACTTGGCATTTCTCTGGGCTTCCACCACAGGCGCCAGGCAAGGTCCTGCTCCACCCCTAGGTAGGCTGCCAAGGCCCTGGCCGCTTGCAGTTCGAGCACCCAGAAAAGATCAGACGTAGGAAGGGTGCAGGCTGAATGATGTGGAGGTCTCTTCTGGAACTACCACAGCAGGAGCCCTGCTCCCATAGGTGCCGACTCTGTGGGTGCTCCAGCCCTGGAGGCGGGGTGGGAGTGGGGGCTTAAAATAAATAAATGAATGGAGATATCCTAGAACTGGAAGGAACCTTGAAAAGTCATCGAGTCCAGCCCCCTGGACTCAGTACTGATTTTTCCCCAGATCCCTAAGTGGCCCCCTCAAGGATTGAACTCACAACCCCGGGTTTAGCAGGCCACTGCTCAAACCACTGAGCTCTCCCTTCCCCCAAGGGCAACCAACTAACAGAACGAGGGCAGGAAAAGCCGTGCATCAGCCAACCCCTGTTGAACCGGCTCCTTCTGCCAGACCCCGAGCCAACGCAGAGTGACCAAGTTCCACCCCAGCTCTCCGCCGATGAAACGGACTGGCGCCGAACTCCAGGACTCTACCTGTACTGTGGGGAATCCAGGCATTTTGCAGTGGGTTGCCCAGCCAAGAACCTCTGCCCCTCTGGGTCAGACAACTCTAGGACCCAGGTCCAGCAGCAGGGCCGGAGCTGGGTCAGTACCTCACTCCACCACACCGTGAGCCACCCCACTGGAATCCTAACACCCCTAACCAGAGCACCACTCCACTTCGTCTGACCTCCCTTTCAGCACCCTGCAATGCCCAGCCTCCGCTGGGCGGCATTGGTCGACTCGGGCACAGCTGGTAGCTTTATTGATCAAGAAATTGTCAAGGGTCATTGGCTTCCTCCCCCCGCCCCCCAGGACTCCCCTCAGCTCGTTCAGACAATTGAGGGGTCACTTCTCTCTTCGGGGCCCGTCACCTATCAAACAGCACCTCTGGAGGTCATCACCAGCAGCGGCCACGGGGAATCATGCAGTTCAGGGTGATCTGTGCCCCGCAGTCACCAGTTGTCCTTGGTGCCCCTTGGCTTGTCGCCCATGACTCCCTAATCGGCTGGTAATCACTGCTCAGTGCCAACGAGAATGCCTCCCGAGCCCCCGTCCACAGTCGGCCATGCTCTGTGGTT